CACAAGTTAAAGGGGGAGAACAGATAGCATCTGACGTGTCAGAACCACAGATGAAACAAAGCAGATTGGGACATGTGAACGAAGTGAATAGCTCATCCGGTAGGCCGTAAGTCAGTGGCTGACGAATACTTACATTCAAACGGTTAAAACACTGCGGTGTATGATACAGACAATAAAGTGTACCTTGAAAAAGGTCAAACAATGAGTTGACATTAGGCTGTGCAGAAATGAACTCATAAGAGAACAGACTGGGAACGGGTCGTGACATATTTCCCACTGTAATCCCCGTGAATCAGTAGGGCACATGTCAGTGAGCCACTTGGAGAACCGTATCTTCATGCTTCCGTAAGTCATTTGTGCTGAAACCAAGAGTGTACGAATGAATTGGGCAAAATATTGGAATGGAACTGTTATTGCTCACTTCTGTACGAAGATTCATGAACCTGGCATAAAGCAACACGATTTTGTCTTCACTTCGAAAATATGACTGTGGGGATTACCTACTTAAGTTAATATTCAGTCACAGGGTTTATTCTCAAAACGATAAGATAACCAGTACTCATTTAGACGACAAAGATAGCGATATTTGGGTAAAATAATTCGACACTACTCAGTGTGACGTGAATGGTGCAACGGTTGACCTACAGAGAGAAGTTAAAGCCCCACTTTAGGTTGCAAGAGGCCAGCTGGACGGGCCGGTGCAAGAAAGCCTTTCGCCACTCCAGATAGCCTCATATTTGATTGGAATAAACAGACAGGCAATCAGGTGAGGCACGGTATGACTCTGAAGGCCCAACTAAACAAACCAGGATAGCAAGAGAGAAGTCAATCGTTTGGTCTATCGGTCAGCGAGCAGCTGATCTGTTCACCACAAGTACGTTATGAAACGGACCGTATCACTACTGACAGACGGAAATCCATAAATACTGAAAAACACGGTGTCTCCAAAACGAGTATTTTCGAGAACACGGAGTTGTCAAGGGATCTCTAGTGTTTTAGTAAAAATTTATGTGAGAAAGTTTGGGGAGTTGGGATAGTTTGAAAACACATCCAAAGTTTGGTGACTCTACGCGGACGGCATTCTTGTTACTATAAAAGGAAAAGGGGTTGAAACATTCCGCAACAACTTAATCGGGTAGATTCCAAAATCAGATGAACGAGAGCTAGGACTTGGTCTTGGTCAGTTGTCCTTTCTGGATTGGCTAGTCCATAGAAGAGGACACGGTTGCAAGACAGCCGTCTATAAATGAACCACCGATCTATACAACATTTTTAGCCATAAGTATGCACGCTTTAAACATGTTTATACTAGCTTCATAAGCACAATGTTCCTCAAGGTTTTCCATCTATGCAATGACGTGGGTGACCGGAAATAGTGTGGCAAGAAGCGAACGTTTCAATAATAAGCAGATTTGACACAAAACACTTTTCAGCGAAAAATTTGGAAGGGTAGCCAACTCATTGTCAGAAGCATTAAAAAGTGAACGAACAATGTTGATCTGTTCAGAGAGAAAACTTCAGATGCTATTCGTGGAGTTTTGAACAACGTAAACGTCTAAGCTGTTTTCCAAAATTGCGTTAAGTCTTAGTGAATACTGAATATCCCTTGCTGGTTGGGCGAATTACTAGCCGTGTATAAAGAATAAGATGTTACGGTTGTTCACGAGTTTATATTGGTCAGTCGCCACATCAAATTAGAACCATCGTAAGCGAGCGTTAAAACAACTCCAAGGCACAGTAGACAAAAGCCGTTATCCGAAGAGTTGTTCACTGTATAGAGAGAGGGTCAAACTAAGACTGCCTTTTAAGTAGAGTTATATAATGTATCAAACGACATAAGAATTAAAAGACACGCCCAAACAAACATGTACTACAGCTGTACTCCGTGTAATTGTGTGAGCTCGGAGGTTCCCAGTGTCTTTATCACAAGAGATCATCGTGTCGGTGCCAATCCACAGTATTTGTCAATTCAAATGTAACCGCGAGACACATCTGATCTTCAAGTGAAAAACAGCTTGCCGAAATGAGCGTGGCAGCCCGTATTACCAGAGAAAAGCAGTGTTGCTGAACCACATAAACAAGCAGTTTTCGTAGTTACTAGACACGTCCTGATCACTGACCAGATTGTCTATTCAGAATTCTGCTAAGTCATTTCAATCCTTGATTTTGCGGCCTGCTGGTCCAGTCGCAATGAAGTGGCCCACTTCAGCTCCGTGCGTTCAGAAACAACCGTTTTTGAATATCACTCTTTCCCGGAGTTAGTGACATTCTAACCAGCTGATTTGTTACTTAGCCCCTAACTGTTCGTCATTAAACAAACCAACTCACACTGCCGTAAATTTGATACTGCTGAGTCAATACGAAATGCGTTAATCTACCACTGTTCGTGTTCTAATGTGTTTTGTTCAAACTTCTGAAGGGAACGAATTGTTTTAAACCCCGAAACTAATCGATGCATCAGACCATGATCGAAGTTCCTGCACATTCTGGGTATTCATTGGGCGCAATCCCCGAAAATGATCTGAAATAGACGGAGATAATTACACTGGGGTTTAGAGAGATGAAGGAGCACTTAGCTCAAAAAACCATTGGAAGTATGAAAGCCAAATGCACTGTATGTCGACTTGACGGGGACGAAGTTTGCGACACAGGACGGTCGATGAAACTAACTTACGTCAACGGCCGGATAAAAGAAAAATTCTGCCGGATCACAATTGTTCCTTCTGCCTACTTTTCCTAATGTTTTTTTTACCCTTGGCCGTTCCACCACACAGACTATACTGATTTCATTTCTGCCTCATGTTTCAAATACGTCCGGCCTACTGCAATTAACAATTTATACTCAGCACTGATCCTTGTTTACGTACACTTGCCCCATGATCTGTTACCTTCGGATTAGACTGGTTGCATACATCTAACCAACCTCAAATGTCACCACATATATAGCTGGTCCATTGGATCTGACGAAGCTGCTGTATCAGCAGTAAATTGCTGGCAATAAGGAAGATTACTAAATGCTTAAGAGTTGTTTTCTCAACCGGCTGCAAACACAGTTCAACTGAAACGTTACGATATCTTATCGTGGGCCTGTGATGCGTGGAGACTTTCACCATTTCCATTGGAGCACTGGCTAAACAATATATGGCGGACGCTAGGCAATGCTTTCTCAAAGGCAACGTGTCTTGGCGGAAAGACTAACCATATTCATCGGAGAGACAGAGAG